CCTCCGAAATCCGGTACGTTGTTTCCATCTCACCGGGATTCGCATCCAGTGCTTTCACAAAATTAGTAATATCGCTAATGGTAGGCATCGCACTCCCATCGAGCAAACGGCAAATATTTCAAGACTCAGGAGTCGACATCCCAAGCACTGGATTTGGTTGCAAAGAAGTTTATTCAACATAATTTCACGAACATGTGTTACATGGGATCAATCCTCATAGAGTGGAAGGTTCACTTGATAATTTCAGGGAAGGTGGCGAAGGGCATATCGATCTAATTTCCACATTCAATCCTCGCTACCCAAGCAGTTTAAAAGCATTAGTAAAGTCTTAACCATGATCTTCTTGACCAAGAGAAAAAATATTGTGACACACCATAGCACTGCGTTGAATCCCAGGATAGGTTGAACGAAAGAGCAGTACAGAGTTTTTAGACAGGCTGGAACACGAAACTCATTGGAGATCTTACAGCTGAAACCGAGTTGTCTGTAAGCTTTGCCTAGGATGTCCGAGTAATGTTGTATAAATGTCAATGCGGAGTCAAGCTCAAGGTCACCAACTGTGTTCACGTGCTTCAGAGGTTGGTTATCGATAATATAATCAAAGGCAATGGGTTTAAACAATGAATGTGATAATGTAGCATTGCCTAAAGGCTGGAACAGTTAATGAACACCGACTCAGATCGCAAGCAATAAAAAAAAGAAATCCCTACGATGGCAAACCTAGCCGTCGGAGCCAAATAAATTCATCGGATTGAAGAAAACCATTGCACCGCTTCGAAAGAAATGCCAAAAATATAAGGTTATACCTATAAGCCATAGGATTAAGGTACGGACACCCACCCCACCCAGCGTAGTAAAAAGGATGCAAGCAGAGTTCACTAAGAATAGCATCAGACGACTTTATAGGAAACTGAACATGAAGATTTTGGAATTTTATTCTCTACATCTCAAATTGGCCAAATTGGCGAATCGGATAGGAAACGGAAGCTGCACGATAGGAAGCTAAATAGACTTCGACACGAGTCTCAACAGAGATGGACGACACACCGAATGGGTGAGCAGATCCCATCCACTATCACCATGACGCCGAGGGTTCACTCCATTGATGAGTTGGTTGTCAACCGATCGACGACCGCATTCCCGGAAGAACAATTCACACATCTCAACAAGGGGTTAGCATACGCGGTTACAACCGAACCAGACGTGGAGCAGATCGTCATTGACGTAGAGACAGCGATTACCAAGACACTTCCAACATCATCGCAGGATACGGTCAGGACTGTCACATCGAAGATAATCAAGGACGGACAGGAACAAAGTCGCACCAACGAAAATGAAATTCGGATTGTAAAGGAGCTGAAAAGTAAAGCAGTATACTAAGTGAAAGCAGACAAAGGCAACGCGGTCGTTATCATGGACGGATTATAACGAAGGTTAACAACGGACGGTACAGAGAGCTTCGAGTAGAACATAGTGAAACGCGTTGAGAAAGCATTGAAGGAGTGCACATCAATATTAGGAGATGGAGCAGGTCGTTTACGGGAATCCAATCCCATTCCACCCAAGATTAAAAGTCTCCCTAAAGTCCACAAACCGGAAAATGAAATGCGAGAGATCGTGTCTGCAGTTGGTTCCCCCACCCACAAAATAGCTAGTCACAAAGTTCCAGAGTAAAGCAGTTAGTAACACCCAGGAGTTCGCCCAGCAACTACAATCTTCAGGAGACATCAACGAGGACGAGATTATGGTATCTTTCGACGTCACAGCTCTTTTTCCCAGTGTACCGGTCAAGAAAGCGATCAACCAGTTGGAGGACTGGCTATTAACACAACGAGAGGATGCAGAATGGAGAAACAAGGTTCAGACGTACCATAAGCGGACCCGCCTTTGCATGGAAGAGAACTACTTCTCTTTCCGAGGTAACTTCTACAAGCAGACGAAACGAGCCCCAATGGCCAACTTGGAGACAATTTTGAAGGAGAAAGGACTATAACCAAACCGTTGGTGGAGGTTTGTTGACGATATCTTCAGTGTAGTTAAATGGGAAGCCCTTCCACAAATTTTAGATAAGAACAACAGAATTCACAAGGATATCAAATTCACTCACGAGGTAGAAAAAGACGGGAAACTCGGTTTTCTCGATATTCTAGTCATCAGGGAATCGTCATCATCATCTTTGCTTGAATACGAAATTTACAGGAAACCAACAAGCAACAAAGGAGTTATCCCCTATACTTCCAACCATTCGTTCCAGCAGAAAATGGCTGCCTTCCACCACATGATTCATCGGATGCAAACACTTCCACTCAGTGATATAGGAAAGGTTAAGGAATACAGCGAGACTCAACAGATATAAGGAGACCACAATCCAGTAAATGGAAATTACTAATCCTTCCCTCTCTCATTATACCTACCTTAGATATTGCTCCAAATTCATTTGAAATTCTCCTCAGAATTACACTCCTGAGGATAAGTTTAAGGACACCCCCAAAAAAACATGACAAATTTGTTATGTTCATATCTCTGTCATGTTACATCCAATTTTCGTTCTCTTTAGATCATTTGAAAGGTATTGAATGGAACTTTCCTCGTAGGCAAATTGTTCAATATAATTTTCAAATTTTGTGTGCTAAAAGTTTACCGAAAGTTACAATATTTTTCAAAATTTACTCTGAAGAATCGTGACTGATTTTCTCAGATTTGGGTTGGCCAAATTTTGAAATAAAAGTAGTAGTAGAACACTTAGGGATCGTCCATTAATTATGTCACACTTTAAGGGGGAGGGGGGTTTTGGAAACTGTGACGAGCCTTACAAAACACAATTAAGGTCCATATAAAAAATGCGACAAATGGGGGGAGGGGGGTTTACAATGGGCCAAATTTGCGTGACATAATTAATGGTCCATCTCTTATGCTATACCATTCATACCATTCAAATAACCTTTGGAGATCGAAAATTGAACAAAACATATTTGCATGGTTTTTTGGGGTGTCCTTAAACTTATCATCGGTAGTGTACCTTCATGTTATCTCAGAAATTTCGAGAAACCCTCCTCAAAATCTATAAGATTATTTTCTTTAAATTTGCAAATCACCGCTTTATTTCTTCGCAGAATTCTCAAGGAATTCTCCCAGAGAAATCCTCTAAAAAAATCCATGTTATCCGTTGTACAAATGTGGCAAAAGCAGCATAATGTTGATTTTTTGATGATTTTCTTCTATTGACAAGATTGAAGTGCATCCACTTTGATGTGATATCAAAATTAATTTTATGCTTTGTAACGAGAAGGTTCCTTGGGTGAATTTAATAATATTGAGAAATGCTGTGCAAGGTTTCAAAGACCTATGATTTACAAGAAGTTTTCCTACATATTAAAAAATACAGCATTAAAGGCGTTTCCACAATTTTTACGTAGGCTAGGGTCTTGAATTGCAATACTTTGGGGTTGGGGTAAGATGGAGCAACTTGGTGATTCCGATTTCATACTTACTTATGACTGGTAGTTGTAACAATCGTCCTGTTCGTTGACGGCCGGGTGTTTGCTCACCTGTCTACAGAAGTTCGTGTCCAGGCTATTTCGATCTCTCGATGTGTTTTTCCGTCGATCTTGTTTTCCGTACTGAAGTACCAATGCTACCGACGTCAGGGAGGCAGGGGAGGTAACGGCTTTCCTTCCCTTCCGAAGGAAGGCGTGACCAGAGATTTTATGCCTCAGAAAATCCTGACTGCGCCGACTGGGATTGAACCCAGGCCCATTGGGGTGAAAGAGGCAATCACGCTTACCACTACACCACCGGCGCCACTAGTGTCCAGGCTATTTGTTGGGGAAGGAATTTCAGTTTATTCGCCAGGGGTTCCCTCAGCAAAAGACGACACGAACTGACCACTTTTTGGCACAATAATTTCAACGATATTAACTATTTTTTATTTATTGAGGAAAACTTCTTCCAAGCTGAAGTCAAATCAACTATTTTTCTTCACTTGCTCAACAAATTTTCTCACCCGCTTGATACGATCTTTATTTTGTTGCTATGGTTATCCTCAGGGGTGGCCCGACGGTTGACGACGCGACGACTGCGATACCCGAGTAGAAAAGTTCGGACTGGCAGTGTAAGCAACATTCTCCGGGCCAGGAACTGAGCTGTCTTTTGTAGGTCGACTTTGATGTGCGCACTGCAACTGTGCTCACCTTTCCATCCGGCCCTTGGTAGATCTTCTCTACAACTCCTTTCGGCCTCCTTGGTGTAGCGATTCGTCCACTATCATCACTAGCTCACCGACGTGATAATCGTGGTAATTCCTGTTGTCTGACCACTTGCGGCTTCTGATCAACTCCGGACGGAACGAGGCTATTAACCTGCGCCAGAAACGATCCACGTAAATCTGAGAATGCTTGTAGGCAGCACGACAGTTAAGATCTTGTTCATCAAAGTTATGGCAGCAACATGTTTGGTGTTATCGGTTCAGGGTCCAGGGGGTCATCCGGAAAGGTCTGTTGTTTACGGTGTTTATTGTCTCGCACAAAGCAGTACGCAGCACCAAGTCCGTAGGGTGCCTGTCCCGTAGCATTGCACGAACGGCAGTCTTCACAGAGCGTACTAAACGTTTCCAGCAACCTCCGAAATGTGGAGCACCAGGTGGAATAAACTTCCACTCAACACCTCTGACGCTCAGCGAATCTTCAATCTGCGGCTGATCCAGAGTTCTCACCAGTTTCTTCAGTTCAGCATCTGCACCAGTAAAGTTGGTACCGTTGTCGGTCATGATGCACTGTGGTAAGCCACGGATGGACATTGTTACGACGCGTTGTTCAGAGGTGGTCGTGATAGTTGATCACTGTAAAATAACATTAACGCGCACGTAAACGATAAAAACTACATTTATTAAAATACGCGACTATCGTGGTAGAAGGTTAACTAGACAATCAAAAGGACAACCTAAATTTAGGACGGTATCCGGTTATGCTGGCGATGACGTCTATCGTATGACAGCACAGCTGTCAACGATGAGCCCAGCAGGAAAGCGATGGAACGTTATGGCACAGGCAGTGTTCCCAGCGCTTCTGTTTCGGTTGCCCCAACATCTCCCCTCTAGAACCGATGATACAGGTTGAAACTCTGGGCGGTCTTCTAAGTCTCGAAGAACGCCTTGGTAGCTGTACTTTTGGCTGCACCGTTGGTGTGCTTGCAGCAGCCGATTCGAAGCTGGAAGATGTGGTACTCGAAGACGAGGACGATGGCGACATGTCCGTGCTGGTAGCCGGACTAGTAGGTGGAGACAACGTTGGCGTTCGAATAATGTCGCTTGCAGTCGTAGTTGCTGGATTCCACGTATCGAATAGAGCTTGCAGCGGAAGTTGCTTATGCTTCGATGACTGGCTGGATCCAGGACCTTGATTCAAGCAGACTGACGTTCTACTCCTCAGCTGGTTCAGGTGCGATCGGACTAAGCGACGACTATCGGTCAACACGTTGTACATCACTCGTCCTACTCTTTCGATAACCATTCCAGAAACCCAGTTCCAGGTGTTTTTGGTGTAGATCTTGGCGTAGATCTTGGCGTAGACAAGATCACTTGGACTGAAGGACCTCATACTGGACTTCTTCTGGTCGGCCGGTGACGATTCCGGCGGTGGACGTTCTGGCGATGGACGTAGCAGTTCGAGACAGGTGCGTAAACGTCGTCCGAACATGATCTCCGACGGGGATAGACCTTCTGGCGCTGACCGGTTAGGTGTGCTTCGGTAGGCCAGCAAGAACGTATTCAAGGCTTCATCGGTCGAACTTCTCCCCTCTTCAAGCTTCTTGATCGCTCGCTTGAACGTGTCGACAAATCGCTCTGCTTGGCCGTTTGATTGTGGGTGAAACGATGCAGTTGTTACGTGGTCGATTCCATTCGTCTTGCAGAACTGAGCGAAATCCGAGCTTGTGAATTGGGTGCCATTATCTGACACCAACGTTTCCGGCATCCCCAGGCGCGCGAAGATACTGCGAAGGATGCTGATCGTTGCAGACGTCGTGATGCGACGTGTACGGATGACTTTCGGCCATTTCGCAAATGAATCCACGGCGAGAAGATAGTAGTCACCGTCGATAGGACCGGCGTAGTCCACATGAACACGTTGCCAAGGATGTGTAGGCTTGGGCCAGGGCACAGGGGTCGCTGCTGCTGGTGACTTTGCTGTCAAGGCGCATGGTGAACACGCCTTCACGTAATCGGCGATCTCGCTGTCGAGCGATGGCCAATAAACGTAGCTTCGGGATAGCGCCTTCATCCGCTGGATTCCGGGGTGCCCCCGGTGGAGTTCTTCGAGGCATCGCTTGCGTAGAGGACACGGAATAACAAGCCTTTCGCCGAAGAGAATGCAGCCCTGTACCGTGGTGAGTGATTCACGATGGAGGTGAAAGCGAAGAAGTTCTCGATCAGCGTCACTGGACAGGGAATTTGGCCAGCCTTCCTGGACGTATTGGTGGACCTTCTTGAGCACCGGATCCATCTTGGTGCTTTGTTGTACTGTGTTAAAACTCAAAGGAAACACGTTAAAAGACTCACATACTACTGACCTCATGTCACTCTCCAAGGAGACGGAAGCAATCACGAAATCTTCGTCGGGTTTCGCATGGTGGTTGATGAGACGAGAGAGAATGTCGGCGTGACCGAATTTGTCCGTGGCCACGTACTCCATGACGAAGTCGTACATCAACAGCGTCAGAGCCCAGCGTTGCAGACGGTTGGCAGTATACACCGGGATGCCCTTCTTGCTCCCGAAAATGCGTAGTAGTGATTGATGGTCGGTTTGGAGGAACTTGCGTCCAAATATCATGCGGTGGAACTTGGTTACCGCATAAATGGTGGCCAATCCTTCACGGTCCGTTTGGCTGTAGTGGCGCTCGGCCGGTGCCAAGGCTCTCGAAGCATGCTGGATGACTTTGATTGTACCATCGGGAAAACGGTGACTGATGGTCGCTCCCAGGCCGATTGATGACGCATCGGCCGAAACGATGATCTCCTGCTTGGGATTGTAGAGCAAGTCCGACGATAAAATGGTTTTGAACCTATCGAACGTCTTCTGACACTCCGCCGTCCAAACGAATTTGACTCCCGTCTTCAGCAGTTCGTCCAGTGGATAGCGCAGAGCTCGCATATTCGGTACGAATTTCCCGTAGAAGTTTACGGCTCCGAGAAACGACCGAACTCCCGACACGTCCGTGGGTGCTGGCATGAGCTTTATGGCTTCGATCTTGGCTGGATCGGGACGAACTCCATGGTGGTCGAGTTAGTGTCCAAGATATTTAATCTGCTGACGTCCGAAGGAACACTTCTTGAACCGGACTGTGAACCCGAACTCTTGCAGACGCTGGAAAAGTGCGTTCAGGTTCCGGCAATGCTGTTCCTTATCTTCTCCGCCCACTACGATGTCATCGATGTAAAAGCAAGTGTGCTTTAGACCCGCCAACATGGTGTCAACGAGTTGTTGGAACGCTCCCGGCGCAGCTTTTACTCCGGGTGCCAGTCGGTTGACTTTGTAGATGCCACGGTGGGTGTTGATGGCGAGGAGCTTACTCGTTGGTTCGTCGACTTCAAGTTGCAGGTACGATTCCGACATGTCGATGATGCTGAATACCTTGCAGTTGGCAAGTTTGACGAAGATGTCTTGCGGCAATGGCAACGGGTATTTGTGTGGTTGGAGAGCGTCGTTCAAGCCCGTTGAGTAATCACCGCAAATTCGGATACTGCCGTTCGACTTCCGAACGACTACAATCGGAGCAGCCCATTCTGAGTAGTCGATTGGTGTGATGATCTGCAAGCGCTCGAGACGGTCCAGTTCATCATCGACAATCTGGTACATGGCGTACGCCACGGGACGTTTTGGACGAAACGCTGGTCTTTGTCCTGGCTTGAGGTCGAGCTTCACTGTTGCGTTGGTGCACCGTCCGAGACTGGTGCTGAATACTTGCGGATAGGCGGCCTTGAGCCGCTCGACGATGGAGGAAGAGGAGTTGTTTACCTGTCGACAGAAGACGTTCATCGGAACGGAGTCGAGTTGGAATGCTTCCACCAAATCCAAACCCAGGATGTGCAGATCTTGCGCGACATCGAAGATCGATCCCACTTGCGTTACGTCATTGACGGTGATCGAGCAATCAAACTCCGAAAGTAGCTTCAGAGGATCGCCCGATGCGGTTTACGCGTTCACTGACGGTGGTCTGGTTGGTGGTTTTCCTAACTGCTTCCAGGTCTCAGTTGATACTACGGTGATGTCCGAAGCAGAGTCGAAATGTAGTCGGACCGAAACCCCGTTCAAAAACACAGGAACAAACTTTCTTCTTCCACTCACATTGTTCACAGCGACTTGTACAGTCTTCGTGTCCACAGTCACTGTTCTTGTTCGTCTCTTCACCCGCTCCGTGGGGACTTTGTTTCACTTTCGCAGTACCCTTCTTTGTGTCCGTATTGGGTACACTTCGCGCACTTGTGGTCTTTATATCCACAGTCCCTTATGTAGTGCATAGCTCCGCACTTCCAACAGGGACTTGGTGGCTCTTTCTTTTTCACACACTGCATTACGCGACGAAGATGATGCACCAAAATTTTCGTACCGCGATCGTTGCTGCTTCCGGAACCGCTGCTTGATGGCGTTCACTACGCTGCTGGATCCCTAAATCATCGCAGTGTCATGCCGAAGATTCAAGATGCGTTGGCATTCGGAAGACAACTGCTCGAGAGTGACATCCGTCTTCTCCTCGATGCGCGCCAACAATCGGGTTCGGATCTCTGCATCGGACTCCGACTTCAAACCGCAGACGAAAATCAAAGCCTTAAATTGCTCTTCCAAGAGATTTCCCAGCTCAAACTCAACGCATGTTTTGTTGATTAGGCAGGTGTAGGTAACAAAATCCTCGGTCGGTCCTTTCGCTACTTGGAGGCATCGATAGCGTTTGCTGATGATCGATTCCGCTGCTCCAAATAGGCCTTTGAGCTTACCTACGGTCTCTTAGAAGGTGAAATCCTTGGATGTCTTCGGCAGTATGAAGCTGCAATAGCGCTCGTGCTCCGCGATGCCAAGTTTCCGCATCAATAACCTCACTTTTGCTTGGTCATCCAGCCGCGAAGCATCCTTTGCGAACAGCTCTTCATAGCGCGAGAACCACTTCACTTCAAACGACTTTCCATTATCCTGCACACGACCTCGCAGACGGATGATTCCGACATCCAGAAACGGCGAATATGTTTTCAAACGACTATTGCTTTTCACGAATCCAGTCTGCTTCAGACTGCGCAACTCTTCACAGAAAATTTCCAACTGTACCTTCCTGTACCAGGCACTCTTAGCTTCATCCATGTCGTTCACGGAGATTGTCAAACATCTAAGCTTTTCACACTTTGGCAGTGCTAAAATCTTTCGCATTTTCAGATAGTATGATGTAGATCTAATCAAGCGATTGAAATCAGAGAACCTCTCAATATCGGGAAGGTCAACCAACTCAACTTCAACCACGGTACAGCACATCGGATCCACGAAAACATCAGCAATCACTTCGGTATGGAAATTTACCAACTCAGAAGAGGACATCTCTAGCGGTTCATTGTTCGGCCAATGGACACTATCCCGATACAGAGTAAGCACCCTTCAACCATTCATGCATACGACCAAACCTGGAGGACTTCGTATTCAAATCAACTACGTTCAGCAGCGATGGAACCCAATGCCACAGATCAACTCCATGACAATTCTCCTTAATTTTCATGACACGAGAACCAACATACGCCGTGAGCTTCTGACTCGTCTTCAACCAACTCAAGCAGATTTTAGAATCGGTTCAGAAGTACTGCATATTCACTTCTATTTTTAATTCGTCTTGAACTACCTTCATCATTTGACTTGCAAGAACACACCATTGAAGTTCAAGTCGTGGTACCGTCGATGATTTCAGTGGAGCAACTCTTGCCTTGGCATACACCAATGCAACGTGTGTGTTTCGACGATGAACCATGTAAATCACACATACGAAAGCCTTATCGCTTGCGTCGCAGAAAGCATACAGCTCAGCATCGGCAAAGGACGATACCTCCGGGAAGTAGCACCTCGCAACACGTATTTCTCCCAGCTGAGAAGTTTCGCTCAACCACTCCATCCATTTCGGGACCAGGCTATCAGGAATTTCGTCGTCCCATCCGGATTGCAACCGCCACAGTTCTTGGAACATAATCTTCAGGTGTATCGTAATCGGACTGAGTAAACACAATGGATCGAAGATGTTCATCATAAACTTCAGCAGCTGCCGTTTGGTCGGCACCGTGCCACCAGTACGGAACTTCTTATCCAGTTTTGGAAATCTTCAAAATTCATCTGAAAGAAGATTGAATAAGGCGCTGCAAGGTGAAGCGCGCATGACCGTGGACTCACTGCTTTCATCTCCTGAAAATGTACAGCAGATCATGAGGATGCTGAAATCTAACTTTGGACGCATGGAATGGGTGGTGGTGAATAGATTGGAAACACTGAGAGGCCTGGAGAGCATCAAGGAGGGAAACGTCGAGTCCTTGCGTGTTTTCTACAACGCAGTGATTGGAACTCATCTCACACCTAACTAAAAAACTGCCTGCATTCAGCAAGCAGATGTGGGGTCGACACAAGGCCGTAATCGACTTCAACAGTTTCTCTCGCTGGTTGGAGGATGAGATGGATAATCAACTCGCAAGTCTCAATCCTGTCTTCAGTGCCAAGAAATCAAACATCCCACCGAAGCCGAAGCAGATTGTTCTCAACGTCAACAGTCGTCAGGCGGAAGAGACAGCGAAGTGTCCGCTATGCTCGTCAAGATCGCATGCTAGTTTGGAGAAGTGCTAGCAATTCCGCAAGTTATCTGTTGCTCAACGTCGGTCTGCTGCTAATTCTTGCAAGGTCTGCTACACCTGTCTGAGTGCGGATCACACAAGAAGAAGATGCAAATCCAAGAAGATGTGTCAGATCTGTGAGAAAAATCATCACGAACTGGTCCATAATAATGAACTTCCAACGACCACCGCGTCTCGCCGACCGGATACTCACGACAGCCAGATGAACGTATGCAACGTGGACGGTAAAAACGTCAACACACTGCTCCGAGTGGAAAAGGTGAAGACTGGCAGTGCTAGCAGCAGTAGTGTTTTCAAGTGATTCCTAACTTAGTGACGCCGGTGTTGTAGTGGTAAGCATGATAACCTCTCACCTCAGCAGGCCTGGGTTCAATTCCAGTCGGCGCCGCCGGGATGTTCTGAGGCATAACATCTCTGATCACGCCTTCCTTTGGAAGGGAAGTAAAGCCGTTGGTCCCCGGTTCATTAGTTGATGGGTTGATAGGTAGGGTCCAGGTGTGGGAGCTCTGGTTCACTTCATATTAAATTGACTCAAATTTTGTAGTTCATATTCACTACAAGTGATTCCAAGCTTTTCAGGTGTGATTAACTTTATATTCAAGCGATTCTAAACATTTCAGTTTGAATTCACTTCATTTTCAAGTGATCCCAAATTTTTCAGGTCTGATTTACTTCACATTCAAGTGGATCTAAACTGTTCAGGTCTGGTTAACTTCAATATTCATGTGATTCCAATCTTTTCATGTCTGATTTACTTCATATTAAAGTGATTCCAAAAATTTTAGGTTCGCTTCATTTTATTTTCCAGTGGTTCCAAATTGTTCAGGATTGATTCACTTCATGTTCAAGTGATTTCAAACTTCTCAGATCCTGTACATTTCATATTTTTGCATGCACATTAGCACCACGTAGTGACATAATTCTGAAACGAACTAGACACTACCCTCTCAGCCATAACCTTCTGAAAAACTTTGCGCAGATTTGTAAATTTTTTTCAATCGATTGGCTTGTTTAGAATTAAAATCCATCCACTACTGAAAGATTTATTAGTGGTCAAACCCTAACCACTTTTCGTAACGCGGCCAATTTCGTTTTTTTTTGCCCAAAGACGTTATCCTACGTCTAGAGCGCAAATATCAGCTACAGCCACCCGGAGACGAACCAGCGTTCGGCTGAAAGTCTCCTTAATATAGATAACTAACTAGCTACAGCTATAAAATATGAAAATATATCCCAACGTATGCAATTCAGTTTCTTGGTAATTCTACTGATAGGCAGATTAACTTATCGAGTTTTCTGGATTTGCTATAAAATCTTGGCATCCTTTGAAATTTGCATTTTTTCGGCATTCCGTTCGGTCCAAAATGCCTATTTATGTTACCCTTAAGTAATAATACCACCCATCCCACCGGTTCTCACCACTCGCTTCGCACCCCGAACACTTTCCTCCAACGGGTCCCCGGTGGCCGCACTTTGCATCATTCACACTTTTTCTCTCCAGCTTGCTTCCTCGTCTCGGCTCTCTCGTCCATAATAAATGAGCTAATTGAATTGATTTATTTACTTCCCTGGTAGGTTGGTATGAGCGAACGAACATACTCTCATGAAGCTCATTCACGCGCGCGCGCGCGCGCATTTTCTGGACCCAACCCGGGAAATGGTAACAGCAAACCGTCAACCAGTACAGACTCCGAGAAATTCAAGCCTCACGAATCATGAAAGTGCCGCTTCAATTGTCGACTCTGCCCCAACCGTCCTGGCATATGCACAATACGGCCACCCTACAACCCGCAGCCTTCGGCAGATTCGGTCGCATTTAAATATGCCTCCTCTATACCTATGTAGGCACACACTGCAATGCTCTGATGATGGGGTGGGCTGTGGCCTGTGGACTATTTTTTCTCGTTCATTAAGTGAAACCGATCTTACCAACAACGACGACGACGACGACGACTGCGCGCCAATTATAAACCATACGGTTCCTGCTCAGCTGGAGCATTCCGACCGAAATACTTGCAGGAATGGGCATGCAAAGCGTGAGCGAGAGAAAGACTGAGTGGTGATTGATTACTCCTGCCATCTTTTTGACTAGTTTGACTATCACGTGTTTCGGTGCGGAACGAAGGGGTGCAGGGGAAATCAAGAAGGGCACTGTGACTAACGAATTAAGGCAAAAGCTGACGAGCGTGAAGTGCTCGTCGTTCCACGGAGGATCACCAGCCATCCATCCATCCATCCGTCCATCCGTCCGTCTATCCAAGCATGTGGATCGCACAAAACCACGTGTGGTATTTCAGTCGAGCGATATTTCAGTGTTGCAAATTTAATTAGTTCATGCTGGTCACGAGGATGCGATGGAGCTGAGCGGGATTAGGCACGTTTTTAGTTTTCACTCGTCCGGAGTTTGTCGGTTTGCGCCCACGGCGAAAAATTCCCGCCCGAGTACGTGAAAATTTGTTCTGAATTATATGGGCAACTGCAAACTGGTCTGGTGTGGCGTTCACTGAATTGCTAGCGAAATAAGGATATTTATTTTTACACCGGCTTAATCGAATAAACTTCAAAATTGATGATTGAACAATTGTTTTCATTTGACTTCGGAAATGGAAGAGCGAGGGGTGAAATTGTAAATTTTATCAACACACTGAATGCGAATGCTTTTGAGATGGAAGTAACTTTCTGAATTTCGGAGGATCGAGCGCTTTTCGTTAAGTTCAAGTCGGAGGTGTGGATGCTGAATGCTTTTAGGAACATCTGTGTTGAATTAGAATCCATTACTCGGATGTAAAGGCTGTGAAGCTGTGTGTGTATGATTTGCCACCTGCGGTCTCAGATTGTGATCTAGTGTTGGTGCTATGCAATAAGTGAAGCGTGTCATTTCGGGGGAAATTATCTGCGGCACTGGATTTCGACATGCACACCGGTGTATGCGGTGTGTATTTGAACGTGAAAAATGTAATTCCCTCTCGCTTAATTTCCTCAATCGGGTGCGGAACATTATTTTAGACTGGTTCAATAGCAAGTGTTTCTAAGGCAAGGTGTAGGGGCATCGAACTTTTTTTTTTTATTTTTTTGCTATTGAGGCTTCCAGTATTGGTTTGCCTTTGGCATGGTGACCAGCAAATCCCGATTAGCAAATTCCCGATTGGGCGATATAATTAAGCATACAATCGAATACCGAAGAGTAGGTTAAATCAGTTGAATGGGTAAGCAACGTCTAAAGAAAAATTTTAAATCAACGTCAAACTGAAATCGTTACACGATTGACGAATTTGATAACAAATTTGCTCTTCAAAAATATGTTGTTACAGTTTGGATTTCATTTCCTTAGCAGAACATCAATGCGAATATACGTTTTGATTTCAATAGTAAAAAAGTACATCAAATTGAGTCCTCAGTTTGTTCTGATTGATAGCAGAATTAGTTTGCAATGCGACAAAACGACCAAAGCAACCTGAGTAATTATTATCAGCGACATCACAG